AAGTATCAAATTAGTCATTTAATAACTAATTAAGCAAGTAAGTATGTCCTAATACATGAAAACACTTTGCTACAAGTGTTAGGAGTACCAAGGGTTGCATATGAAGAGTGTATGGACTGACATTGGAGTTTACTCTTCAATTGATGGCCCTTAGGGGTGTTTACAGTTTTGGGACCATAACCCCCATGAGTTTACGACCGTAAACTCATGATAGAGGTTCCATGGGATGTTTAAAGGTCTTATCTCACTCATAGAATTATGCTAGAGTCGAATCAAGGGCTAAGGAAGTGATTGGGGCTCAAAATGGACATAATAGGGAGTTATGGTCCTTCGACAACCCCCTTGGGTGTTTACGGTCGTAAACACATGGGTTTACGGACATAAACCCATATTTTTCCATTTCTTTTGTGTTTTGGGTGGTTCTAACTCATGCATGCAAGTTTCTAGACACTTAAACAAGCATAGGAAGGTGTTAAGGGCATTTAAACACCTTGAAAAGGTGTTTATTGTTTTGGGAGGTGTTCTAAAACCGTAAACTCCTGTTTCTTGATGATCTTCAAGGCTTTAACATGTATACTAAGCAAACAACTAACTAGTAGAAGTATACTTAAATATAAGAAGCTTGAATGGGTGTTTGGAGCCCAAGAACACTAGTGTGTGTTCTTGGTGTTCTTGATGAACACTTGAACATCTAAGCAAAAGTCGAAATCCAAGGATGAAGTGGTGTAAAAACACTAGATTAAGTGTTATATAAACAAATCTAGGCAAGAAACACTTACGTTTTGGCGGATTTGACGAAAAAGAAATACGATACTTGAGAGGATTTCTTGATTGTTCTTTAGGTGGAAGTTGGAAAAATGAGAGAAAATGACTAAGTGTCATATTTATACTCTCGGGGGTTTGCGGTTGTAAACTCCGAGTTTACTCCCATAATTTCCAAATTTTGGAGTTTTGTGTCTTACGTTAAACGCGGCAACTCTAAATTTATACTTCCTTATTTTTGGTTCACTTGACGAATATTATTTAAAATAATCCAACGGGATTAAATCCGTCCACAAATGTTTTGAAATAAATTTGGCAAATTTTTGGATTTCTTAATTGCGGAGTTTATACGAATAAAAATTCCGGGTTGTCGCATCATCCCCCCGTTAAAGGGAATTTCGTCCCGAAATTAGGATTTAGACAAAGAGGTAGGCCTGAACAATCTAGTAAAGAGATGAGGGTATTTCCTATTCGGTTGGTCCTCACGCTCCCAAGTGAACTCCAATCTTCACTTGGTGTTCCAGCGAACCTTCACTAGTGGGATGTGGATTCGTTTCGTTCGCTTAATCTCCCGGTTCGTGATTTCCTACAGGTTCTTCTACGAAGTTAGGGTTCCCAATGATTTTCTATCACGATGAGTGGGATTATACAAGTCACGTCGGACAAGCACCTTGTCCATGCTGGAGACGTGAATGGACTTCGGTGGAATTTATGGAATTTTAGAAGTAGTTGAGGTCTGACGAGGGTTGGATCAATTCTTATAAGGAATCTCGGATGGTCCTAAGCTCTCGGAAGAATAGAGCTTTTTCAGTACTTTAGAACATAATGTACTTTTATGGTGAGATCATCACTGGCGTGATTACCATTTCGAAGTTCCAAAAGTTCTCTCTTACCGTCGTGTGATTCCCGGGTTGGTTCTTAGAAGGCTCAGGTCGTCTTCGGATTCGTATTCCCTACTAGTTGGATTTCGTAGGTTTTCTGGATCATCGGATGTATTGGCTACACACTGGCATCTATTGGTTATGGGACATCTATCTCGATCTAGTGCGAAATTGGACCTGCACTTATGACTCTCGAGGTGTTTCTATCGGAAACTCTCAAGGTCAATGAGATAGGGTTTTACCAGACGATGTTTAGAAAGTTTTAAATTTTCATCATCATTTAATAGATGCTTTCACAGTATGATTCCTAGATGGCAGGAATCATGCTCTTACTCGCTTCATTGTTTTATGGAGATCAGTCTCTATTCAGGGCTAACCTGGCCCTTAGAGATTTTCTGAAGTGATGGGCCATTTCAGGAGGTGGTTCTACTATCTCACTAGGGATAGCATTCTTTGGAGCACCGAGTAGCCCAACGAATCTCTAAGACATGCCCTATTTTCTAAGGTGTCGGCTCCTTTTAGTTTGTGGGAAACGCATGTTCTTGTATAACCCATCGACTAACACCTAGACTGGTGTTGAGTCTAAGATCTCTTCGGGATCTGGGTTATAAGGCTTAACGCAACTCACTTTCATACTTTATTCAAATATTCTTGGTTGCATAGGTTATCCTGTGGTTCTTGGCATCCTAGTATTCACTTCGAAGAATGCAGTCTATCGTCTACCGGGCGACGGTGCCTTCTTTTATGCATGAGGAGGCGGTGTATCCTAGGCATTAATCATCTGTAACTGGATAGACGAAGTGCCTAAGTAGTGCGAGTATTCCTTGCAACTACTCTTCCGGTGTTTCAGAGTTTCCTTGATCTAGATTAAGTCTAGAGAGTATAGGGTTTCGTTGCTCAGGGTTTCTAATTTCTTCATCCACTCTTCTCAGAGTTTAAGCTGTCACAGTTTCTAGGTTTCCGAGATCTCTTGTTGAGATGCTTAATGCATGGGATTAAGCATGAATGGATGGTCGTAGTCAATGTTCTTGACTCTTACGACTTGAGTTACCTTTCTAACTGAGGGTGTTAGCTACGATGTTGGCTCAACCGGGATGACAACAAATTTCGAATTTGTGGTCATTTTTAGTAGCTCAACCCACGGTGGTTCTCTTGACTCTAGCTTCTATTCTATGGGATAGGATGAAGAGTTTTACTATAAGGTTCGTGGTAGAGCTCATACTCGGCTTAATTACTAATACTTGGTGTATCCACGCCGTATATAATTGAGATCAACAGGACGTTCAGTTGTGAGGCCCCACCCCAAACCCACAACCCAACGAAGAACAGGGAGTAGGGAGGAAGCACACATCCTAAATCTTATTGCTCTAAATTATATACCACTCTAATGCATAGACTTCGTAGCAGTATGTTAATCCCATGAGTTCTTTCTCTTGGGTCACGAACCTGATTGTGTGGTGCTAAGGGTCTTTTCGGGGAATCTACTAAGTAGGTCTCGGGCGGTTGTTGTCTTCTGGGATACCTGAAGTGCCTTTCGCTTTGGGGTCTATCTGTCTAAGGAGGGGTTGGTTAACAGCGTGCGGTACCCTTTTCCTGGGTACTTCGGAAGGTTTTATGTAAGAGAGAAGACTGGCGGTTCGCATTAGGATTTATTGTTAGGTTTGGAAGAACCTTTATTTGATGAATTGGCTATGGTGAAAGTCCTCTTTACACAACACTTGGAATTTTCATATGGTTGCACTAAGTCGAACCATGATTGATGGAAGTGTCGAATTTAACAGACACCAACATATTATAGGATGAAGATCGGTAGGACCATGTGCTGAATGGGCACACAAGTTCTTTGTATCTCAGGTTTCGTACATGGTATCTCTGTCGCGGATACTTGAACCAATGGAATCGATGCAGAACTCTAGGGGTCCTTATGTTTCAGAATAATGTACTTTTCATGAATGGATTTCTCACGATGCCTCACTATAATCTCCTAGTATACACTAGTCATGTATAATTAAAGTGGAAAGGACTGTTGACTGAGCGACTCCGCCCTAAATCCACAACCAAACGAGGAACAGGAGATGAGGCAGTATCACTCACTCGAGGTCCACCAATCTTATTTATACATGGCCTTAACGTATATATCGAGCCATTATTGCTTTACCTGATAGATTTGGAATTTTTACTACAGTGTTGTGACTTTCGCCTTAACGAGAGAGTAATCACAATTAAAATTTATTATTTAATGTATTCGGTTAACTACTCGGTATTGAGAGAGATGTACCAAAATTTGTGCCGGGTTCCTTGATGTTTTCCTCGGGCACTAGAGTTAGACTCCTCCTACATCCTTGTCGTTCCTTTCAGTTGGGCAGTCCCTCCTGAAGTATCCAATTTCACCACATAGGTGGCATACTGGACTGGTCGCCACATTGGTGGTTGATGTAATGAACTCAATCGGGGTTCTACAGAAGTGAGCGACATGCCCCTTCATGTTGCACCTAACGCAATACAATCCTCGACAGATACCATGATGATGGTAGTTACACTTGCTGCAGTGGGGGAGGTTTCCTAGGTCTGGTCTTCCAGGTGTCGGGATGGATAGGTTGGTAGGGGTATTGACTGTCTCAACTCGTTGCCCTTCGGAAAATCCTTGAGCCGAGGTACTTCCCTCCTTGTTCTTGAACTTTCTCACTACTAGAAAACAGCCCTTTAATGACGCGCAAACAATGACACGCGGTGATTTACGATACGCAAAAGTGTGTGCCCTAAAAATAATGTTATCTCTTCTAAAATTTGAAGGATAGTGGACACGCTTTTATGCGTGCCCTAAAATTAATGTCGAACAAAACAAAATAAAAACACAGAGGGCACTTATTTACAAATGGGTGACGTCTAGAAATGTCGCTTTATATTTTTTTAATGAAAGGCGCGTTCTTTTCTTTTGCAGCTGGGGGGAAACGAAAATCCCAAAAGTTTGAAAGGCCGCCATTGTTACCCTCTGCCTTATTTCCATCATTCTTCTCTCTCTCTCTCTCTCTCTCTCTCTCTCTCTCTCTCTATCTCTCTCACTCTTGTTACCCTCTCCCTTATTTCCATCATTCTTCTCTCTCTCTCTCTCTCTCTCTCTCTCTCTTTCTCTCTCTATCTCTCTCACTCTAATACCCAAAAAACCCTAATAAGATCACCAATTCTCTTTTTTTTTCCACAACAAAATCGCAATATAATCCCGTCTTTTGAACAGATCAAACCCATAGGGTTCCCGACGGAAGAGATACAGCTTCATACGAGCCCTAATTTCTCATCTGGATTCGTAGGGCTTTTTCAAGAATCATTCTACCTAGGGCTTTTTCAAGAAAATTCAAAATGCTCTCCGATTCTCGATCGGTTCTCCCAGGCGTCTGCAACAATCGACGATCTCACTTCAGGCTTACTTCTTCTCCGGTGAGCATAGGATCACCTCCCCACGACCATCCTCCTCGTCATAAAATCATCCAGCTAGGGATTTTTCTTCTCGATCTCTTCAGGTCCGTCCTCCAAAAATAAGGAAGAAACTAGTTTGATTTCTCCCCTAAAACCTGGATGACCATGCTCCTCGCTTCCATCACTATTCCAACATGTCTTCATTGTTCCTCCCTCGGTCTCTTCCATCAGGTAAGTTGTTGGATCATCTCATCTACTCATTTTTTACTATCTTTATTCTCGCTCTCTTTTTTCTTGATTTTTCTTCTCCTTTCTCTGTTCTCCCTTTTATGTTGAATGTTGTTGGCAGTTAGAATCCAGGGGAACAATAGAGGAGAGTCAAATGGTAGTGGTACACCACCACATTTAGGTGTAGGTGTAGGTTAGGGAGGGTTACCAACACCAAAAAGCCTCATCCTATCCCAAAGCCCTCATGAAATTGACTCAATGTACATCACCATGCTCAGAACTACTAGATTCTTGGGTAAAACCACATCATCGAGGTATGTGTTTTACATCTAATTTCACCTGTGATATTTCAATTTTTTTTAGTTATAAATGATCAAATTTAAAGATTTCTCTGTTCGGATCTTCTAATTTCTCATTTCTACTGGTAATCTCTTATCCCTTCTTTCATTTTGTGTTGTTCAGATCTTCTAATTTCTCACATTCTAGCCCTATTTAATATCGTTAGTGTTATACAATTTCAGCTTCAGTTGGTCTGATCTATTTGTTTTGTGTTTAATTAATGGATGTGGTTTACTTAGTTAATTGAATGTTAGTTAAATCGCAATGGAAGGATTAGGTCTCACAGTTGTAGATTGAAATGAGAATTTTTAAGAAATCAAAACAAAGCCTTAAATCCTTAATTTAAGGCTTAAATAAATTTGAGAAAAAGTGGATTTATGTTCGATAAATGTCACATAGACTTCAAATATGTTCATTAACACAGATCTATTTCATCCGATTGACTATTTGTTTATTGCTACGCAAACCTGATTATCAAATTCATTTACATATATGATTATAAAAAAATTCATATGATTTTTCCTTCAGCTTCATGGAGTAGAAGCTATGTGTGCTGACCTTATGCAATTACATGCTGCTATTAAGGAGTTGACTTCTACTCACCAAAAACTTACTAGTCAAGTTCGGGGTATGACTCAAGATCTTGCTAGAGCTACTGTTGATTGGGTCTGGAACAAAATCGCAGCACCGTGACACTGAATCCGAACCAGCCCTCGCGTGTTTGGCTTCCAAGTGGATTAAAATAATTTGGAAGGGTTATTTTGGTAGATTGAAAACGAGCCTGTATATTTTATAAAGGGTAAAATGGTAACTGTCATTCCTTGAAGAGATGGAATGAAAAAAATAAGGGTCTCATATGGTATGGAATGACATTCCTTCGTTAATGCTTTTTTCCTTTCCAGTTTATCAACCAAGCAACATTTTTTACTTCTAACTTTATCAAAATGTTATTTTAAATCATAGCCTTTATTAAAGTGTTGGTTGAATTTTTATTGCTATCTTTACTTCTAACTTTATCTTTAGCCTTTAATATAGTAGTGGGTTGATTTAATATGTGTTTTATACAGAAGTCGGATAATTTGGGAGAAAGGGTTATGTCTTTAGCTTTTGATGTTATATCTCGACTTCTAGAAATAGCCCCAGTGAGTTTTCATTTAGTGAATCAGCCATTTTATATTTGTTTTCATTCTATTCCTTCTTATAAATGAATTATAATCATCTGGAAACAGGGATGCAGACTTGTTTCACCACTTTTCATCTTTGCTGGAGTCTGCAATTTTTCCAGCAATAGTTATGAATGAAAAGGTTTGATAGTTATTGCTTTATTATTGTTGTTTGTTATTATTATAAGTATTATGATGGTTGTTAATTGAAAATGCATTTGCATCAAAATCCTAACTGCAAGTAAGTAATGTTTACATTGAAATAATTTCTTCTTTTGGAGTAGGATATTATGGAGTGGGAGGAAGATTCAGATGAGTACATAAGAAAAAATCTCCCTTCTGAACTTGTATGCACTTGTTCAAATTGTTTATTGGTTATACGAAGTCAACTAACGGAAACTAATTGTGAGCTATTCAAATTGTGTATTGGTTATACGAATTCAACCAACAGTAACTATGATATGTGTATTTTTATATATATATTTATGTATAACATATCTTAATATTTTAGCATTTATTATTATTATTTAGAACTAAAATAAACTTAATATGCTTTGAAATATTTAATTACAGTTAAAATGGGAGATGAAATGCAGAAGAAAGAGAATGGAGTTGAAAAGATGCAAAAAGGATATTGCTGGCAGATTGACCCCTCTTCATGGTTTCGGGTATATCTGATGATTCATAAGTCCAATTGACGAATTTCAAACTGTTCTGAAAACTAGACGAAATTTTCTACGACTTATGTGAGACGGACTTTTGGCTAATTCGACACTTATCTTATCCAAAATCGACCTTGAAGATGAAGCATAAAAGCTGGACGGAAATTCCCTCCAAGTTACTTATTCCCCAAGCACCACTTTCCTTATCTTTATTTGCTTAATCCCTAAGCCACATTAGTTTCCTTATTCCAATCCAAATCTAATATTCCATATAATTCCATCTCCATCAACTATAAATACCCCATATCATTCCACTAATTTTAATAATCTATGATATTCCACTTCGACTTATGCAACAAGAAAACTTCATAGTTGCCGTTTTGAGGGTCTAGGAGGCGGCCGGAAGGCCGTTAAGCTAACGGAAGTGGAGATCGGAAGGGTTGGAGAGCGGATACATGTCGGTAATCACATGGGTTGTTAACGTGACCATGTTTAGCATTCCATTGTGTTGCTATTATGTATTTAGTTTCTGATTTAGGTGTAAAAACCTTTTACTTTGTGTTTATGATTGAATGAAACTTTGATTATTAGACTAATTGCTATATTGAATCGTTTGTTTGTGTTTAATTTATCTTGCCAAGCTTGTTAAAAGATCCTTACGTATTAATGATAATTATTTGTTGTTAATTGTTAAGTGAATTGAGTTGTATGAACATATGCTTGATTGCTTGTCTCTTATGATTTTGATGACCATTTAGATTATAAGTCTAGGAATAACGAATGTGAAACTAGGATTAACTTGGGAATAAGTAAGTTAATGTTCGAGCCTTGTTTGATGACCATCAACAAGAGGTTAATTGAATGCTTAATTTGATTAACTATATTTGCAAGTCTTGCTTGATACGAACTGAGCACTAGGAAGCATGTTAGTTTAACCAATTGATCACTGTTTGAATTGACTTGTTTGCTAAAGGATTAGTTATAGTGAACGCGAATCTAATCATTTTAGGAATCGGTGAAAATGAATAAATGACTTTGTGTATGGAATTGTCTATGTTTTTAAGGTGTAACTTGTCTAAACCAAAGTACCTGAAGAGATTTGTTTTCCTGTTAGTTTATCAAGAGTTGTTAATTAATTATTAGTTTGAGATTTATTAAACTATTTCTTTTATTCTTTTCGTGTGACCTGTAACCTATAATCAAATATATTAAATTAATCCACCGTTCCCTGTGATCGACACCCGACTTACCTAAGCTATACTGTAATCTGACTAGGTACACTGCCTATAAGTGCATAGTTAGTCTAAGTTTGTTAGGTTATAAATATTAAAATTAGTGGGTACTTCCGTGCACATCAAACTAATTGTGAGCCTGTGAAGTATTCTGATGGTCAACAACATGTAAATGAAGAAGAGGTTGTTGGTGAGGCATTTGAAGATTCTGTTTTGCAAAAACTTCAAAAGGTTTGACTAATTGACTTTCACTTCAATGTATCTTTCATTCTTGATTTTCCTTTTTGACAGAATAACTTATTCCTTTTTTTGGAGGGTACTGAGAGACAAAAATGAGTTTTTACAGAATATCTTGAATTAAAATTTCCATATTGCTACTAGAATATGAGTACATTGATTATGTTATAACAGAAAGATTGGTGACAAAATATCTAGAATTTAAATTCCAACATAACACATGAAAGGACAACAAGAAGGATGTTTCTATAGAAGATCTGTTGTCAGTTTCAATAAGTAAGAATATCGTGAATATGGGCAGCTACTTTTTTATTTTTATTTTTTAAATTTTGTTACAGATAAATGAATGGGAAATGGATTGTGGATGACAATTCAGAATATAGTGGCCATACAAGGGTAACCATTTTGAAATGTTATAAGTTTTTTTTTAATATTTATATTATTATTATTATTACTTTTAAATATTTGCTATAATGTTTGAATTAACTTTTTTCTTTCTTTGTTTTCATTTTTGGTTGAATTGTTTATATTCTGCAGCATATGGGTGATTTTAATTATCCAAGATTAGCTTACTTTGTTGCTGCAATATCTGGTTCAAACAAAGTACAATGCCAACAAGTGCTTGAAGAGCTAGATGTAAGTCACATTTAATGTTCCATAAAGGTTTTCTGCTTCTTTTTGCCCAAAAAAGTTTCTCAAATACTTGGTTCTCATTTTTCCATTATATTCAATCTAGGTTTACAAACAATTGAGACTTAGTATTGAGTTATTAAAGAAAGAAATGGAGATACAAAGGATTCTGATAGATTCAACAATGCTTGGGGTTTATGATAGATTCAACAAGGGTCTATCAGATTCAAGTAAGTCCTGGTAGCAATTTTAAGTACTTGCCTTCTTATTATATTATACCCCACACATTTTCCCAAATTACCCCTTCCTATACAATGTTTTTTTTGTTTCAATGTATTTTGTGCATCAAGTAAAGTTGATGGAAGAAAGGAATATGAAGCCACTTGATTTAAACCTTGCAACATTATCAGCAAGATGCAGTAAAGACTTGGAGTTGAATTTGGCTAAGTCATTATTGAGTGAGATGGGCCAATGTACAACTGCTTATCCATATAATCAGCTGTTTAGAGCATTAGTCTTAAAGAATTATGAAAGGCAAGGTGCAACTTTACTTAGTTGGAATTTGATGTACATAGTAGATTAGATCCAATTGGAATGATTATTTGTATGACATTAACTTTTGTGCAATGTATTGTATTTTTTGAATATGGTATTTTATTTTCTATTATGAGACATGATATGCAAATTTAATTTGAAATTCAGTACATCTATAAATAATTTTAAAAAAAAAATTAAAATTACGATACGCAAAGATGTGTGTCGTCTTCATTTATGACATGGCCTTTCTTGACAGGGGCTTCCTTGATACACATTGCGTGTCATAAACATGCGCGTCGTAAGGTTACGACACACAAATGCGTGCCGTCTTCCTTTATGACAGGGCCTTTCTTGATACGCATTGCGTGTCGTAAACGTGCGTCGTAATTGCGCGTCGTAAATGCGCGTCGTCTCTCTTTATGATAGGGCCTTCCTTGACGCGCATTTGTGCGTCGTCTGAGCCCTTTACGACGCGCAATGAGCATCGTAAAAGGCTGTTTTCTAGTAGTGTCTCTTCAGTGGATTTTGTTGGGGTTCTTGGGTGGCTGGGCACGCAGGTGTTGGTTGTTGTTGTCCATTATTAGGATTGGAAATCCTGATAGGGCTCCTGCTAACATTGGCGTGGTTAGTATCCAGGTGAGCCATGACAGCTGCTACGACTGCTGAGACTGCAACTTGAAACGTAGCTTCATCGAGTAGGAGAGTCGGTTTCTTGCCAGCGAGTTTATTACGTTTCTTCGGAGGCATGGTTTTTCCTACACGAAAAGGAACACAAGCTGATGAGAGACGATGGTTAACCCTAGACGTATCTTTCAATACCATGATAGGCATAAATTTTCCCGCGCCTCGAGTTATGGGTATTTGAGTGTCGACCTACATCCCTATGATGCAATCCGGATAACAAGGTAGGAGTAAGAGTATCGGAAAGCCATAAAATGGGAGTTGTTCCTACTAAGTTATCTTTATACTGGAGAGATTCGCTCTCCGGCTTTGGAAAGATTTGAGGACAGTTCGGAACAAAGATCACGGAAGAAAAGGCTCATGAAGACTTATGGCTAAACACTCTCAATCGAGGGTTTTGAGATCCAATTTATTTGTATTACTTGCGACAGGAAAGACGATTTGCCTAGCACATAGTGTGAGTAGTGTAATCACTAACTCACTAAATTGTATTATTTCATGGATGTATTTGTTGGATAAGGTGTCTAAGTCCATAACTTATTTGGTATATACTTGACCCGACCGGCATGGTCCATTTGGGTTGCATCTCATCCAAACTATTATGGATAATTTTATGAGAGTTATACACATATGTTTATTAATATATTATGAGTTATAATATATTAATATGAAGTTACGTTATTTAATTAGTTTTAGTCTTAAATTAATTATGAATTAATTTAGAGATTAAAAGGAAGACTAATTAGATTATGGGCTATTTGTTTTATATAGTGTGGGCTAATACTCATTTGTTAATGGGCTAGGCTTATGTGGAAGTCCATGGATGATCCATGGAGCTTTTAACCCATGGATCCTTGGAAAAGGAAAAGACATGGGTTATTAGGGTTTCACCCTAACCATGCACACTATATAAGCATGCTTATGGAGCATGAAATGGAGCCTAAGAGAAAACTAGTGAACTAGTGTGTGTGTGCATGTGTGTGGCCGATTTTATACAAGGTGTATACTCTCTCAAAGTTTTCCAAGAGTTTGTGGTGTTTGTGATTCCATTTGAGGCATTCACACTATTGGTGCTTGGCCCTCAAACTCCTTAGAACCAAACTCACCAAAAGGTATGTAATCTCTTCTAACTCTTTTATGTTGAAATGTTCCCCATGCCATGTTAGATAGGTTATAAACCTTGGAAAATTATTATTTTGCATGTATTTAGACAAACATAGATCCAAGGTTTATTAGGGTTGCATGCACACTTAGGAAGTGTTAGATTGCTCAAAACCCAACAGTGGTATCAGAGCCTAGGCTTGCTTGTTTGATACTTGATGCAAAATAGTGAAAAAAAGTCGAAATCGTTGCTGTCAGCATGGTGGACTCGCCGAGTCCATTGGGGGGACTCGACGAGTCCAAGGCAAACTTCAACCTACTCGGCGAGTAAGTTCATGCACTCGACGAGTAGGATCGAAAGAGTGCAGATTCTCGACTTTTGCTGCTGGAAATGGACTAGAAACATTACCCTAAACTGTTTTGGTGTTATAAAACTTATTTTAGTTGGTGTAATGGTTGTTCTAATCCATTTGCAATAGCATATATCAAAATTCCATGATTTTATGTGTTCATATAATTCTTGAATTTTTGATGATCATGTTCATGTTCTTATGAATTTAGAAAATGATAGGAATTATTTGCTGAATTGTTTAGGATTAATTCTTTATCAGTTATGTGTTTTAATGGAGTCCATAATTTGTCCTCAAGTTATGGATTACCAAAGGTCACTTTCATTTAACACACACTTAAAACACATAAGTTACATGAAAATGAAGAGTCTTCATTTTTATGAACCTTTAATTCATAAGTTATGAAATGAAGAGTTTTGCAAAGTTACAAAACTTGCCCTCAAGTTTTGGAATTTGTAAAGTTTCACACACTTTAATAAACTTTAATTCCAAACCTTAGAGTTTTAATAGTTAAAGTTCAACCCTTATACTATTTATAACATTAATGGTTAATTATTATATATATGTATAAGAATAAGTCGTTTTACCGTTAGTAGGCCTCATTCACGAAGCCGGTCTATAAGGTGGGTATAAGGTTGTTGCCTATAAAATGGCGACTTAATGGGTGTATACTCTCACCCACCGCTTGCTTGATCGGTGGAGGGTCGTTAGCCGAACGGGTAGAACAATGACTTTAAATCCTCATTAAAAGTATAATGAATATTATAAAATAACTAAACTCTTTTAATTCCCAATCTTAGTTATTTTAGGAAAATGTGAACATGGTGCTAGTCTGTCACACCCCCAAACCAAGGATGGCGGAAACGTCCGGGGGTGGAGGACTTCATGTATAGCATCATAACCACAATTTCAATAGTAATTCAAGCAAACACAACCAACATATATATAATTGAAAAGTTACATCACTTGCATGAATTACATGTTTCAAAATCAATTACAATATGTTGTCAAAATATGAAAAGTTTGACGCCTCAACGTCCCATCCTCAAAAGCACTTGGTAACACGATTAATGCTTTCCTGTGAATACAAGTTGTTTGAAAAGTGTCAACACAAGGGTTGGTGAGTTCATAAGCTTTTATTAATAATCTTATTAGAAGTCTTTCACATGTAAATGTCGCGTTGTTTCAGAAAAATCCGATATTTTCCTTGAAATCCGAAAAATGTAGCCTTACAACCAAAGACTAGAATGTATGAAAAGTCATCGTTTCTTAGTAGGAATGTTGTGAGTTTAAAATGAATTGGAAAGTAAATTTATTTTATCAACCTAAAACCTACTTTGGTTTTTATGCAACCCCGTAAACTTTATGAATTGTTGTCTCCCTAAGTGAGTCGCTATAATCATACTGTGACTATGTGAACCTGCCACAACGTTTCTCAGGCGTCGCGAAAATGAAATGACATTTGTCACCCGTAGACCTGCAGGTCCCACTGTAGCTAGCAGCAAGGTGTGGGGTGTCAAACCCAATATAGATCTATATACAAGTATCACGTTCTCCCTCAAGGAGATTCTGATTATAACTACCAGGAATTATATCCCGCACTCGGACGTACGGGGAGAGAGAGAGAGAGTCTCACAACATAGGTTAACAAGTTTACTTGAAATGTGTGTGAATATAAATCTTTCTTGTATGAATGTACCCTTTTTGTACGAGTGCGTTGAGTGATGTATCATAAACTATACCTATTATAGTTTATCTAAAATGTATGTAATATGTATGAATTCTTTTATGGAAATGTATTAGTATTGTGAATTTATCAAACTATACATTTTATAGTCTAATAATACGTGTTCCAAAATGAATGAATAATATTTAATATTTAATATGAATGTCTTAATTCCAGTTCATAATGATAAACTAACACGGAAACACATTCAAATATTAGAACTTATGATTATACACTTTGCTCAACATAATACAAAGTGTTACGATATTTACATGCTGTTGGCTAACTTTAGCCATTCTGCCCTGTATTTGGAAAAATCATAGAAAAATCATACGAAGTCGAAAACTAGATCCGTAAATTCTGAGAGTTCACAAAATGTGTCTAGTTTGCTCATAAATTTTATCTCAATTTATAATGACCTCTAACTTGGGTGAAAAAGTCCAAAATCACAGACTGGTCCGGATTGTTGTTTGAAATGATAGGCAGTTTTGTAAAAATCGCCATAAATTGTAGAAAAATCGTATGGAGATGTGCAAGTAGCCATTTTAAAGCTAAAAACTTGAACTATTTGCACCTTGTACAGTTTTGAAAACAAAAATGTGTAAGATGCCCAAAACAGTCCGTGAATGGAGTTGAACTTTTCTGATGAAGGCTGTTAGAAAACTTTTGATAGGTTCTTAGTGTTTTAACTTGTATTCACCCCCTGAAAACTTGAGAAATCATGAAAATGTAGGGGTATGAACTCACCTTGAGTGATTTCAGTAGATGATTGTTGAAGAATGGAAGTGTTTAATTCAAGAACACTTGGAGATGCCTTGAAGGTTTTCGAGAATCTAACATCATAGTTAGGGAGTTTGTGTAAGCAACCAAAGATTTGAGTAGAATGAAGTGAAATAATAATAGGGAGGATGAATTTTTACTTACTAAGTGTGGAAGAACACTTGAATCCAGCCTTGGATCTCGAAAATTTGTGTAGAAGAGTTTGAGAGAAAAAGTGATGTTTGTTACTTAGTGGAATGAGAGAAATGAGAGAAAATGAGGAGTGTGGTTGATTGTTCCAGCTCAAAAACGTGGGAGTGAGTGAAATTTGAGTGTAAGGGAACATTGAAGTGACATAGGTAAGGTGGGGAGGTATGGCTGGTCATAGAGTGGGTGTGGGGTGGTTGCTTGTGACTTTGATTTTTTTTT